TAACATTAACAAAACATCGAATGCACCATCCCAACTCAGCTATAGAAAGAATATCACTACCGACAGATGTGGGAGGTGTAGGCGTACTAGATATCCACCGTCTTCACCAATCGCAAATTAAGTCTCTCAGACAATACTTCCATGAAAAATCCACACCTTGTTCAGAGCAGTATGTCAAGTAGATACTAAAAGCACGCCTTTAAAACTAAGTGATATTGAATATAACCCTGAAGATAATAAATTTTCGATCCAGTCCCAAATACAAAGATGGAAGCAAAAAGAACTGCACGGTACTCACGCACATCACCTGCTCCACGAAAATACTGATACTGAAGCATCAAACCTATATCTAAGGGGAACTCTATTTGCTGAGACTGTCGGATTCATAGGCGCCATACAAGACCGAGTAATAAATACAAAAAACTACCGAAAGTTTATATTGAAAGATCCAAATATCATTGACAAATGTAGAAGGTGTGGATCATCAAATGAAACCATTGAGCATATTATAGGCGGATGTCAAACATTAGCACCAATGGACTACACTCAGAGACATAACAATGTGGCCAGAATTGTACATCAACAGCTAGCGAAGAACTCTAAACTGATTAATGATGACAAACCCTACTACAAATACGATCCTGTTCCTGTATTAGAGAACTTACAATACAAACTATACTGGGACAGAGAAATACGCACTGACATCCGCATCAACGCTAATCGACCAGACATTGTAGTCTTTGATAAATTAAAGAAGGAAGTAGCAATAATAGACGTAGCAGTACCCCTCAGTCATAATATCCAAACCACATATGCTACAAAAATTAATAAATATCTCGAACTAGCTACGGAAATCAAACAAATGTGGAGAGTGAATACAGTTAAAATACACCCACTAGTAATATCTGCAACTGGAATTGTACCACTTACACTTACAAAACATCTAGAACAACTGAATGTTAAACACAACTTAACACAAATAAATAAATCTGTGGTGCTTGACACGTGCCATATTGTCCGAAGATTTCTTGGCTCACAGACAAATTAGCCGAATCCAAGCATATACTGTTGGTGCACCAGCACCCCAGAATACTGCAAAAATAACCCAGGTTAACCTGAGATAATTCTCTCAAATAATAATAATTAATAATAATAATAATAATAATAATAATAATAATAATAATAATAATAATAATAATAATAATAATAATAATAATAATAATAATAATAATAATAATAATAATAATAATAATAATAATAATAATAATAATAATAATAATAATAATAATAATAATAATAATAATAATAATAATAATAATAATAATAATAATAATAATAATAATAATAATAATAATAATAATAATAATAATAATAAATTGGTAACAGTAAACAAGCAAAAATGAATATACTCTAATATCTCAATATTAATTATTTTAAACAAAAAACTCGAATGAATTCAAATTTCACTTCAGTGTAACCTTCAGGCCCTAGTTAGTTTGTCGTAGTGAAATCAATAACATTACCAGAATTTACAGTCAAAGCAAAACAGATCAATAACCTTTTTCTTTCTACCTGACTGAAGTGTCAAATTATTTTGGGGCTATTAGTAAAACAAGCTAATATAAATATTAGAATTATTAAAAAATATAAAGGTCTTACAAATATAGTAAGATAAACAAACTGAAAATAGTTCCAACGCTATTGAGTTTACAAAATCTCTACATTTTAATACTATGCAATAATATAATATAAATAAATAAATAAAATATTCTAGAATTCACTAAAACCAACTCTGTTCCGGTCCAAGAAAGACCCGATATGCAACTTGAGCCCAACTTAAAATTTACTGCACGCCGTAACGTTTGAAACCCAAACAAGAACAAAAAAAAGATACGAGTTAGCATGTCCGTGTTGTTTTGAAAAGATGTTATATATTCTAGCCTCAAAACAAACAGTACAGAGGCTGGAAAAGTAGTAAAAATAGGTAGCAAACACTATGTTATTAAAAGAGTGGACGTTTTTATTCTTTTTGTATGTAATTCAACTTTGTAGCATGAACAATCTTAAAGGAATTTCCATTAAAAAAATATAAATATAGTTATTAACAATCCTATTGTGGTCTATATTTTTACGACGTAAATTATTTAAGAGACTAATTAGACAAAATATAAAATAAATACAAACACCCAAAAAACTCGTACAACTAACACAGAATCAAGAGCTTTTGTACTTTTCAGACACTGGCACATACAATTTTTATTCTATTTATTTAGAATATCTTAAAGCGTTTTGTCCATTTACATAACAAGCTAAGAATAATATAAAATAATCAAAATAATATTTTAGAACAAATATTCAAGTGAGATTTCTGTTTTACCTAAAGTTATTATAGGCTTTTTCCAGTTATTCTGTAAATATTTAGAGGATATACTAAATAGGTACACTGGTACATACATCTTACTCGAAACATTTTTTTATAAATATATTCATTACCAACGAAAATACAAAAAAATTAAAATTTTACACTTTTTCTCAAATTTTTTGATTACGATCCATTTTAGAGATATCATGTATAAAACAAATATTATAGAGAATAATACTGCAAACAACTTTTAGTTTTTTTGCTTTGGATATTGATCCTTTATCCACACACAATAATTAATTATTTAAATGAATAATTAACCTAATTAAATGGAAAGTTGTAAATCTCTTTATTCTCCATTGCCAGCAGGGGCTTGCAGTCCATGAAAGCGGGGGAAGCACCGCTTTACTACACTTTGAGATTTAAAAACAAATATTTTTCAGTTTACAATGCATAGAAATTAATATTAAATTAGGTACTATATTTTCTCTAAAACATTACGTAAACTTCGTAAATGTACTAACAATACATTGGTGTAATGTGTAAATGCACGCACCACCCATGAGAAAATTAATTGTGTAAACGCATATCATACACTTCGAGTCCGTCGGCGAAAGCGAGTCTTGAAAAAGCCGGCTTATCTTCCAACTGATTTCGCTTCGTGTTATTGACCCTGCTTTGCTGCGACAGTGTCAGTCTGTTTGAACACGTAAAATACGATCAAGAGGCAGCGATTTTTACGTCGCCTTACGCATATTGCAATTCGCATCGCGAATCGTTGTAAAATCGTAGACTTTAGATAGATTTCGGTTTGTTTTTCGTAGTTGTTTTTCTTTTTGTAAAATGGACGAACTATGCACTGTGCCTGTGAGCAATAATATTGTGGTAAATTGTGTCTGTATTGTGTGCTCTTTATTGAAAAAAGGATTTTCAAGTAAACATTTTAAGGAAAAAACGACATTATTAATTCTAGTAGACTTAAGGATCCTATCAATTTAAAGACGAAAGTAGAAAAGTCAGCAAAAAAATTAACCAGTCATTTTCACGTAGGGTTCTATAAAAAATATGAATGGTTAACCGGCTGCAATGAAGAAATTGTTTTGCTGGCCTTGCTTACTTTTTAATATAGCCGAAAAAACACATTGGAACTTAGTCGGTATTACAGACTTGAATAATTTTCACAAAACTGTAAAACGACATGTAAATAGCAAATCTCATATAAGTGCTACAATTAAAGAAAAAATATTCGGGACCTATCACATTGAACATAGTTTGGACAATCATTTAAAAATAGGCAACAAAATTCACAATGAAAGGCTAAACAAAAATATGGACGTCTTACAACGAGTAATAGATGTAACTTGTTTCCTGGGAGAGCATGAACTAAGTTTTAGGGGTCACAATGAATCAAGTGGGTCCGCCAATCGAGGAAATTACATGGACCTTCTAAGTTTTTTAGCAACATAAGATGATACCCTAAAAAATTATTTTATTGAATCGACGACTCCCCGATGTACCTCAAACAGAATTCAAAATGATTCAATTAAATGCACTGCCGGCGTTGTGATCGATCACATTAAAAGTGAAATTAAAAAAGCACCTTTCATATCAATTGCGCTTGATGAAACCACAGATGTAGCAAACTTTAGTCAATTATCCATTGTTGTGCGATATGTATTGGATGGTATTCCTCAAGAGCAATTCTTAGGATTTTTGGACGTTACTAACGAACGAACTGCAGATGCATTGTTTAAAATTAATTGTGACATTATTTCAAGTTTAGAATGTGATTCTAAGCTTGTTGCCCAGAGCTACGATGGTGCTGCCGTAATCGTTGGCCATTAAGAAGGCCTTCAAGCTAAAGTGAAAGAGAAGTTTAAACATGCAATTTTCGTTCACTGTCTAGCACATGGACTTAATTTGGTTTTATCGCGAAGCATGGATAATATTAAAGATTGCAAAGTTTTTTTTCGACGCTTGGTGGTTTGGCTCCCTTCTTTTTAGAGTCATCGAAAAGAACTCGCGCTTTGGACATTCACGTTCAAAAAACGTTTCCAAAAGTTGCTCTGACGCGATGAAACTACAATGGACGTTTAGTGCAAACAATGTTTCAATACCGTGATTCTTTGATACACTTTTTTCAAGACGTTTGGGATAATAAAAAAACATAGGATGCTGAATATGTTACTGCCGCTACAGGGTATTTGCATTGGCTCAAATAAAACTTTGATTTCAATTTTTTGCTCAACATTTTTGCAGAGATTTTCCCTTTTTGGTGACATTTTATTCGACATTTTACGGACAAAGTCAAATGACGTTGGATTTTGCATTAAACAAATTAATGATTTTAAAAATAAAATTAATAAAAAACGAGATCAGTTTGAACACTTTTGGAATAAGACTCAAAACATTGGCTTAGAACCTGAAAGAAAGAGAATTAGAATTGATAATGTCGGTGACAAAGAGACCTCCTATCGTCGATTATACGCAGCAATTTTTGATAATATTTTACAACAAATGAACTCTCGATTTCAAAACTTTAACGAATTAAAATTTGTTGAATTGTGCAATTTTAATATTAGTAACTACGATTCATCAAAATTTCAATCGGACGCTTTTAATTCACTAAAATTAAATTATGGAAATTTTTTCGATATTCCAGTTAAGTGTTGTTTATGAAACAACTGAAATTAGTGATAAAAAGACGCCCAATAATGTGTTAAATTTTCTTATAACAACTGGTTTAAATAAGACTTTTTGTGAAGTCGTTAAGTTGTGTAAATTAGTACTAACCATCCCAGCCACTAGTGTGTTAGTTAAGCAAAGTTTTTCAGCTTTAAAGCGCATTAAAAGTTTTATACGAAATTCAACAAGTGAAGACAGACTCTCTAATTTAGCCCTAATATCCATTGAAAAACAGTTTGTTAAACAGTTATCAGAAAATTCAAAATTTTACGACGATGTTATAGACAGATTTGCAGCCGTTAAGGATAGGCGAATAGATCATAAGTATAAATAAATGTCAACTGTGTGTCAACTGTGCGAAAAAAGCTGGACAAAAATAAGAAAAAAAACTTCAGCTAAATGATTTCTTTACGTTTAAATAAACCAAGGAAGCTTTTCAATGGTAAGTTTTTTTATAGCTTCTAGTACTAAACTAGGTAATAAAGTAATAGTAACACTTCAAAAATCTCAATCTCGAATATCCGTAGTACTGAGGAAAAAAGCAAGATTTTGACTAAATCGAGAATGGGTCGCGAAAAATAACTCTGGGGCGGTTCAGCGGCGACAGATGTGTTTTGGCGTCAGTTTCTGGGTGTGTCTGGTACACACATGTGTCATATGGTTTTAGGATTGACTGGTTAGTTCCAGTCATAACCTAAAATTCACGTGGCGGCTGAGGTTTATATCGTCTCCCAAGGGTTACCGATATAATCCCCGGCGAAAAAACCCCCGCCGACAAAATCCCCGCGACAAAATCCCCGGTGACAAAATCCCCGGAAACTAAAATCACCGGTAACAAAATCCCCGGAAACTAAAATCTCCGGCGACAAAATCCCCGATAACAAAAATCCCAGTAAAATAATCCCTTGAATAAAAATATATCCCGGTAAAGAAACCCGTTGGATACAAAAAAATAATTGCTTAAAATACCATAAATTCGCACAACTCAGAAATTTTATTCTCACAATAACTCATGAATTCCAATATCGATCATAAATTCAAATTTATGAATAATTATCTTAATAACAAAGCTGAAAATCTTATTTCAATAATTAACGCAAACAATATGTATAAAAAGAAATATTATAATCGGAAATTTTGGGCAATGCCATGGAGGAACAATAACTTGTCGTTGCAATCAAAAACCTGCACCAATACCGACAAGCGATTTTCCATTTGTTCCAATTTTCTTTTCCTACTTACAGTTTCACCTGCGAGCATTTTTTATGCTATGTACTCGTATATCTTGTATTTTTGTTGATATACGACATATATCAGTTGAAAAATACACGAGAATATTGTTACATTAAGGATAATATCTGGCGCGGCTAATCGTGAAAATTGTTTTGTGAAAGGCTGAGTATATCGGGCGTAAGCATGCTTTACCATGTTTTGAAACTTAATAGAATATTATTTTTGGATTTATTTTGAGTTATTTTTTGGCGCGGATAATCGTTAAATTATTTTGTGAAAGGCTGGGTATATCGGGCATAAGCATGCTTTATCATGTTTTGAAACTTAATGGAATAATATTTTTCGATTTTTTTGCATTGTTTTTTGGCACGAGTATTTTGTTATGTCAGGGATTTTATCCCTGGGATTCTGCCACCGGAGATTCTTGTTTCCGGGGGTTTGGTCGTCAGGATTTTGTCCCCGGGGATTTTGACCCCAGGGATTTTGTTCCGGTGATTTGGTCGCGGGGATTTCGTCTCGGGGATTTGTTCGCCGGGGTTTTTGGCTGGCACCCGTCTTTCAACTTGTGCAGATTTTTGTTGAATATACATACACAGAAAGGAGCATGACTTGGTATTCCTGTTTAAAATGTAAGGAAAATTGCCGCGTTTGTATATCCACATCCGATGCATTTTTTACATCCTCAACGTTTGTTTATTCACATCGGACACATCTACTACATCTACATCTGCGTTTGTTTATCCCAGATTAAGCTATATAGATTACATTTTTTGCATCTCGATTTGAAATGAGATGTGAATGGGATGTTCGTTCCATGCCAGAAGGTAAGTGTTCTGTGAAGCTAAGTTTGTCAATTTATCCTTTGTTTAGGCTAGAATAAATATAAAAGTGATTTTTGTTTAGATTTCAAATTTAGGTTGAATTGTAGTCCTAAAAGTCAAATTTAAAAAGTATTGTAACCTACCGCACCCAGGTACCTTAATAATTTAGTTATTCCATTTATTAAATATAATATTGCATTCTTATTAAATTGAAAATCCTTTATTTAACAAAAAAACTCCTAGATAATTAAATCTTATTTACGATACCTAATAAATAATAGCTATAACCACGTCCGTAATATATCCAAATTTCGTGCACGTGTCTCTGAGAACCAGTCCAAGAAAACATATTTCTTTCACGAAGTAATTATCATTAAAACACTTAACTCGCTTATCTTCCTAGTTTTGATGCTAAGACCGATGTCAACAATATTTCGAAACACAAAGCTTTCAAGGCACATAATAAATAAGCCACCCCCTGCACCCACAGTATTTCGATGAGATTTAAGACATAGAGACGTCACAAAAGCCATTAAACTTTATTATAAAAAGCCAGACCCAAATAAGCTCGCAGTCATTCATTTTTAATTATTTGATGTGCATGCATTCAATTTTATTATTTGATGAGCAAGCATTTATTTATTATTTGTACCCAGTTATATTTCAAGCTCAGTAGTCAGTGCCTTTTCTAAAACGCTCTTCCTAAACGACGTCTATCCTACAAAACTTCCTATTCCCGAAGGTATCAACGTCTCGACGCCCAACGTACTGCTGTCACATTCCTCACCATCTAAGTATTTCCTACCGTACACTCATTTCGACGCTCAACGTCCCACGCCTTATTTCCGACGCTTGCTGTCCCTAAATATTTCCTTCATAATATCACGTCCCGCACCACCTACATAATTCTACCGTATATCTGTCCCAATACAGTACCGTATTAAATACCTTTCTTTTTACCATGAAGCTAGGCACCTCGACGCTCAACGCTGCGACGTACCTAAATCGACGCTGTCACAATGCTAGATCAAATTAGTACATAATCTAATGTCTGTATTTTCAATGGTGAATCACAAGATTTATGTAACTTTCTTTGAGATACCACCGGGGTTTCTTTTAAGGGCAGCTTGACATTTGCTACAAAATATTATCAATTTAACCAGTAAACCATATGGCCTTCAAGTCATACACCCCGAAAGACAGTTAGGATAGACATCTGTTTCGATGGGTGAATTTTTGAGTGTTTTAATAGAAATTATAATAATTAGTATTAAAAAATATACAGGGTTGTATTAAATAATTTAAAAGGTAATTATAATAATCAATATAAAACAATATACAGGGTTGTATTAAGTTATAGAAATTATAAAAATTCATATTTTAGAAATATACAGGGATGTGCTATCTTGGATAAATTGTACAAACCAAGATGGTAAAGTTTAATAGTAAGTTAACCAACTGACGAATACGCTCTTTGTTAGCTCAAGGGGGGACACCTATACCCTAAGCAACCCGTTCTACTATTTTTGAAACAAAGTATACGTGAAATCAACATAGTAAGGTAATCAACTGGCAAATTGGCGCTGTTAGTTACTTCCGTTGGTATCACCTCTATACTCATCGAAATATTTACCTAAGTAGTGCAACCTGTGTACATCTGGAATAGAATCAAATCAACATCAACCCGGTAGTCAACTAACTGGCGAATTGACGCTGTTCGTTAACTCCGTTGGTCAACAACCTGAATAAAATATATATTGATAGCAAATGCATATGGTTTGCGTTTGAATGGGACTCAAGTGAGATCTCAGTAACAGGGGCGGTTTCTCCATTGGTTCATTTGTGCAGTGAACACCCAGTTCAATTTCATAGATACACATTATTTTAAAACTACATAAATAACATAAAAATATAAATTTAATTTTAATATTTTTATTTTCATACGTGTTAATCTATATTTTTTGGTACATCATTGCTTTCTGGCTGATCGCGTCTCTGTGGCACAATATATCTAAGTAAACCTTGTCTGTGGCGCATTATGATGAGTGAGCCTAACACGAGTGAGACGATTTGACGAATACATATAGCTAAAAAGAGATGAAAACACGCCAACAGATCCTTCAAACTGTCAAAGAACAAATTAATTGGCGCGCCGCTCACAAACAAGTTTGCCAAACCAGTGTTGACAGTCTAGTACAATTCACAATTGTACTAAATGTAGTACATTCTGCATGCATCAGTGTTCACGTGTAAAATATATGTATATATTGTGTTCCTTGTTTGGGTTCGTTATCAATAAAGATCCCCTTTTTTCCTCTTCAATGAATTTAGATGTCACTGCAAATAGAATTCGAAAAATCTGGTACATTTAAGGAATCTGGTACATTTTTTAGACAAATCTGGTACATAACAAAAACATTCTGGCAACTATGTACCAAATCAAAGTACAAACTGTCAATGTCAATACTGTCATTCCATCTATTTTAATAAAATTAAGATTATTTTATTTGTGATTGTTTAAAAAATGTGTTTAATTGAGGACTGCAACTTTAATAAATTGGAAGGATGTGTGTTAATGTAATTATTGTTCAAGAAAAACTTTTAAGGCAAGGTAAATAAATAATATTTTAAGGTTATATTTTGTTTATTTACTTTATAATAAAGCAGTAATAAAGTTTTACGACTATAATTTGTTTTATATTTTGTTTCAGTATCTAGACATCAAAGACAATTTCAAAATGGTCTATTTTGTACACAATTGTAAATACTATGAAGTAAGAAGTAAACAAAAAATCTGTAAATTTTTTCCCACAAAATCTGCTAAAAGGAAAAATTTAATTATTCTGATGAGGTAACTATTTGACATCATTATGGAAATGTACAATAAAAATTTGATTAAGATAAAGAGACAAATGGTTTTCACTTTAAAAGTCTAAATCAGAAGAATGGATCAGCCAATTAATTTAATATACTCGATGAGAAATTTTACCTAAGAAATGGTATGTACATTTAAATAGTTTACCTATATAAAGTTATGTTTACAATTATCAATTGTGTTACCCTCTAACCAAGGTCGTTTGTTACATACAAACTAGAAATATTTTATTTTAATGATATTTTTTTATTGCCTTGTTTGTATAATTTAGTATTTTCAAAAATATTAAATGTTATGGTAATTAGAATCACTACAGGTATTAAATAAAAATAAGGGTATTGGTAAAGTGGTTTACAGTTGGTACTAAAGAATGTCTCGAAAAAAGTCTCGAAATA